TTTTCTTTTTTAACGTTTGTTGCACTACCATCGGCGTCAAAATACAAGTCCGGTGGTTACTTTTTGAATAACTTAAAAGGAATAAAAGACAAAGACTTGCGGTTTTCATCACTTGCTAGCCAAGATCTGAAGCTGTGTTTCTATAAGGACAAACAAATTTGGAAAAATTTCGAAGACCGATTTTTCAGGAGAACTGTAAGAAACCAGTTCGGTTCTCTCAAAACTCACATAGAAATCTATGGATCTTTTTCATAGATATATAGCCTGAAGTGTTCTCGAGAAAATTGGATCTAAACGACATCTTGGAAATCCAGGATTCGGGAGGTATGGACGGGAACCGTTTACTTTTGCACTCTTGATTATAGTTTTGGAACTCGTAAAAATGGGATCAAGTGTACTATGGCTTAGTTAGTGCTAACTTCACTATTACAATTTTATGATCACAACTGACTGATGCATAAAAAATCGTCTACTTTTGCACTCTTGATTATATTTTTAGAACTCGTAAAAATGAGATCAAATGCTGTCTGGCATTGACCATTATGTCTTACTCTTGTTGATTCACGTACTAATTGCTTTAGACCCATTAGCTTGCTACCCGCTATGTCAAAAGTTCTAGCAGGATCACTTTTCAATAAATTATACGAGCATATTTAAAAGCATAAATTATTAACGCCATTTCAATCCGGTTTTATTCAGGGAGATTCAACAGTCAATCAGCTAGTAGATCATATCCATGAGATCAGCGCCGCCGCGTATAGGTGTGCAGGTTGTTCATCGCACAAGGGCGGCTAATGAAAGGGGCGGCATTTTGACCGATTGCATGCACAGTAATAATGCCGACTTGCGGTCCGTCATCTGACTGCACACTGGCAAAAAACATGTGTCTTACTAGGAACTAGAAAATAAACCAGTTTGAGGGTGGGGTGAGAGTTAGACCTGCACGTGTTATTTTGACGTTATTTCTTTAGCTACTTATACACAAGTAAAATGACAGAATCATACTTTGTCTCATTTACAGATGATATATATCGTACAATTTTTGTTTATATAGAGTAAAGTGTCTAATTGGAACCACAACCAAATTTGCCTAACTTGTGACTTCAGTATCTGAGTGAGTTTTGAAGCGATTTTCATCGAATTTGGGGCTTTTGTAGTTGAAAGTCTTGGCTATTTAATGATCTAAAAATTATTATGAAATTCTCATCGGAGACGGATCGGAGGGAGATTTACTAAGGAGAGGGTCGTTTTGGTTCCAATTAGGCTCTGTGCCAAACGGGAACCGTACAGCGAAATGTGTGTCTAATTGGAACCGTTCCGTTGAAATTACACGGATTTGCAACGTTTTAGTAAAACCTATTTTTTACAACATTTTGTAAGATAAACTAAGAAGTTTTTATATGATCATAATCTGGAGAATGAGCCCCGTCGAATGCCACGATTTCGAGATTTGTAGGACCAAAATTGACCAAGTTATATTTCCAATACTTTAGTGTATGAAAAAACGAGATGGTTGCATATTAGGCACTGAGCTTAATTGGAACCGTACAGCAAAATGTGTGTCAAATTGGAACCATCTCGTTCAAATTACACGGGCTTTCAACGTTTTAGTAAAACCTATTTTCTACAACATTTCATAGGATATTGTAGAAAATATTTCGCAATCTATGTATTTCGATGTATTTCTACATATTCGCAAATATTTCGAAAATATGTATTTTTATGTATATATAATCCAAAATAATAATTGTTTAAAAAAATATTTTTATCCATATAATTATACATGTACCTTTACTTTCATATGTTGTTTTGTTGTTTTGTTTTAACTGACTTTAAGGGAGGGAGCTTTTTAAGGTTTGCACAAAGGCGGCTCATAAGCACCCGGCGGCCCTGCATGAGATCAATGAGAATTTAGACAGCGATAACTTTACTCTTTCTGTATTTCTTGCTTTTTTAAAAGCTTTTGATATAGTATGGCACTTAATTTTACTTTATAAACTACAAAAAAAGAGAGTGTCAAATGAATATTCATTTGACACTCTCTTTTTTTGTAGTTGAATTTTGTTGATGAATTTCATAATCATCATAAGGCAACTCACCAATCGTTTCAGCTTCTAATAATGATGATTTAGGTGTTGAACATCGTTGGAATTCTCCACCTGTTCTTCTTTTTCTAGAAAAATAACAGAGTGAGACATCGACTGCTTTTTTGTAAATTATCTTGCGTTCTTGTGGAGTTTTTCTATTTCTTTTTGTGTATTTTCTGTGTCTCTTATCAACATCCGCTGTAGCCATTTACATTTTGGATAGACTAGCCAATGGTTCAACCATATATTTACCACTAACATCATAATGGGTTTTTGCAATAATAAATAGAAGGTACGATTCTTGATTAATATTAACAGCTGGTTCTTTCAGCAGACCAATATAGAATGCTCGTTCATCGTCTGGCAATCGTGAAAATTCATCTTGCACTTATTGTGCATTGTCAACGAACGGTCCAAGAGTGCCATTCAAAGCTATTTGTGGCCGAATAGATATTTCAGAAAAAAATTCAACTAGTTTTGCCCATTGAACATGAATGCCGGATAGAAGACTAATGATTTGTGTTAATATATCAATAATTTCTTTATAACTAATTTTTGTTAAATCTAAACTAGCAATTTTAACCATCAGTTCTTTTACTTCTTTTCGTTGTTGCATCAGTTGTGTAAATATAGCATCAGGCCGTTTCAATTGAACTTCCAGTTGATTTTTAGCCATTTCAGCTTTGAATTTTTCATTAGAACCAATATCATTGTTGTGGTTATTATTGGATTGGCTGGTCGATGTTGGTATCTCGTTTGGGCCATTCTCTTCTGCTCCAGCTGAGACTACTGATCGAACCTTATAAGGTAAGGTTCGATCGACGTGCCATACGTTAATGGGTGAGGCACATACGTTAATGAGTGAGGTGCCTCATGAGGCACCTCACTGGGTGCACCCATTAACGTATTCATCAGCCCATCCGTTTGCTCTTGTTTCGGTTTGCCTGATTTAAATAATTCCGTAAACTCCTCCGTAATGCCTATGGCGCGTGAAATAAATTCTCATACCTGTTGATTCAATTGATCATATCCACCTACCAATGATTGTGTGGTATTAAATGATATTTTGAAAAGTTTGAAGATATTTAATGGATTTTCGGTATTTGTTCCTTGTAAAATGTCTCTGACAGTATTTGTAAATAGACTCAATGAGTCGAGCAGTCCCCTGGTTGCATTGATTCCTTTTTGTTTGCAGAATGAAGGAACCGGTTTTCCATCATCTATGCCAGTTTTCCCGCCACTCATTCCGCCATTTTTTATCCCAGATGTACACGAGTTAATCATACCCATCATACCATTCATAAGCACATTACTCAATCCCTGGACAATACGTTGTCCTATTAGATCCCAACCTGTCGGTATATCGTCCATTGCTTTCTGATAGATATCTTGTGCTTTTTTTAATGACTCTTTAATGTCAGCGTACTCTTTATCAATATCGGCATCAATTTTGCCGAATTCATTTTTCATCACTTGTGATGAAACGTCACGTAATCGTTGTATATAGATAAGTTGAGATAATGACGTGACTTCGACTACATCACCTAACAGTGCCATAACATCAGCGAATTAGTTGTGTGTTGCTTGAGCCAATGAAACACATTGTCGACGAATATCAGAGAGCCTATTTAATGTAGGTGGCAGCTGCAGTTCCATCAATTGTGTTGATCCTTTTGCAATGATTGTCAATGCTGTTTTTATGTAGTTTGGAATTTGTTGCATATACAACTGAATTTTATTCATATTTGAATGTGCATGCATAAAAGCATCCCAGCCTTCAGCTGATAGACGAGATACGATGTTTATATGCGTGTAAACGTATTATAGTATCGAACACATTGGCTTATCGAGCCATCGAGCCATTTCTCAACATGGGCGATGGATGGAAAATTTGTTGCTGGTTGATAATTCTTTTTCCCGTGTGCGTTACGTTCTAAGCGGAGAATCGTAATGTTTTTTAAACGATAGACTGAAAGAAAGAAGAAAAAGAACAAAACAGACACTAAACTTTATGACTGTTACACGATACCCAATACCGCCTCAATCGATTCTCTGTACACACATGGAGAGACACCTTTGTTTCTTTTATCGTCAACACTCTTAACAACATAAGCACAATAAGAAAATGGTCCTATTTTACTATCGAACAACTCAAATCATTCTTCGAGTGTCGCAATATAAATGGTGATAAGACAACAACGAAAGAAGCAAAAAAATAAAGCACACACTATTTACCATAACTGACCTCACTTCCCAGAATAGACGGCCATCTCGTATTAGAAGGCAATGAATAATAAATCAAATCATAGAAATTCTGTACAATGAAAATAAAGCTCAAAGAGATGCACACAATCCCATACGAAGGATATGTGAGGTAGAAAGTTCTTTAGTAGGGAAATGGAATTGTGTCGGTCCAAGAACATTGACTGGTGAAGCATACAATTTTATTTACTCGACAAAAACATTTCCAACAGCCGTTGAAGTCAGTAATTATCATTTTACATTTAGCAAGAATTGTAAGCTAATAAACGGCTCCAGCACATTTCAGTATTATCCGTTAAGCAGTGATCTGACAAACACTAAAAGCTTAAAGTCTACATTTGGGCCAATAACTGTTACCATTAATGGAAAAAGATTAAAATAACTAAGCAGCTCCACCTAACTAGTCAACAAAAGACATCTATAGCAAAAAGTAGAATATAGGCGGACGCTGCACACCCTGATTAATATAGTAAGTACAGACTTATGCGAGTAGAGTTTGGAAACTTTGTTAAAATTCCTCTCCATTAGCATGAAAAAACTCGACAGTTATTCTGGGTAATGAACAAGAAGTTTAATGTAACTTTTGTATTCGACTTAGTCATCTCCAACTCGAATTTTTTCTCATTGAATAGGTCTATCGAATGCACAGTTCTTTGCTAATTATAGTTTACACAACTCCCGTAACATCGTTATAATCGCAAATCTGCAATGCTGCCGAATAGTTGAAAGAGTTCTGAGAGCTATCACATTGCGCAGACATCTATTAGGTGTACTGTATGATTAGAAAATCTAAGAATTTTGTATGTAGGTTTTTGTCAGACGAAGCAGGAAGCTGCAATCTGTAGACCAAGCATATGCTGAGCTTTTATATTACGTTGTTGATTAGAAGGACAACTGATCAGATATAGATGTTGGTGAAACTAGGAACATTAAATGATCCTCAGTTGAAGAGCTTTTTCCATGGAAAGGTGATCGTAATGTTGATATCGGCACAAAAGTCAGCGGATGTCTGACGGATCATAACAGCATGTTTTTGGATACGATATAAACAAGTATATCTGTTTCTTCACGCAGTTATGATGCTCGACCGGTTGATTCAGTACTATTCATCTATTTCACTTCTAGAAACATGTTGTCTCATTCGTTTTTGGAATTGTTTATCACATTGACATCCATAATGACAGTAACTGCATCTTGTTCTAAATGTGTTATTGGTATTTATTACAATAGTTTCGGCCCAGATCAAGGATATGGAATATTGTTTATATACTCGGATCATAGTTTCACATCGGTCGAGTCCCTAGAACAAGGGAATTCTAGTTCAAATGATAAGTTTGATCAACCCTGTGGAACTATAGTAGGGAAATGGAATTGTGCCAAAGAAAACGTTAATACAAATACACAGGCATCGGCAACTTGTCACCGGAAATTTTTAAAAAATTGTAGTCGCTGTTCTATGCCAACTGAAGAGTTTTTTTAGAAAAGCTAATTTTTGTAAACCAAATTCGTTTTATTGCTTGAAAATCGTTCAGCCGAAACAGTTTGCGCTGCCTTCAGTAGAAGTGTTTCCATTTTCAACTCATTTAAGTTGTGTAGACCATTTATTCTTTTATCTCTTGTAAGAACTGGCTTAACCTCGTACTTCATGCGGCGATTGTTTTAGAAATATTTTTATTAAAATGGTAAGCATAAAACCAATTGGTTTGTTCAAACACAGTTCGTAAGGCGCACGTAATTCAAAGTTTCCACACAATTTTATTTTTAATTCAAACCCACATAGCTGAATAGTCCGGAAGCCCAGGATCACGAATATGTCGTTTTTAACCTCTTTAGTCCACTTCTCCATGGAGAAAATTTCAAAAAATTTCGTGAGATACTCTTTTTTTCAAAAATCACAACTTTTCAAAAAAAAAATACAATATCTCAGTCCCCGAGAACTTTGGAAGGCCAACGAGGTGATATTCGGAATCAACGTGAAAAATCGAGTTGAATCAGGTGCTTTTTTTATCCTACTCGATCACTTTAATATTTTTTGAATTTTCGTGTCGAAAAATTACTGAGATCTTCATCAAAAAATAAAAATCAACGAAAAGTCGACTTTACCGGCGAAAATGAGACTTCTGCTCCCAATTTGCAGTTTTCTTCATCAAAACTCAATTTTACGCAATGGACATTGCATATTCGGAATCAGTGTCTGAAATCAAGTCGAATGATACATATCACACGAACCTTGTTTCAAATGTAATTCAGTTCTGGGAACGATGACAAAATTTAAATAAGACGCTTAGGCTTTAAAGATTCAACTCACTATACGCGTTCAACAATCACTAGCTTTTGTTCTAGCGTAAAACAAAAATGTTTCTTTAGCTCCGACGTCAAGATGCGCTAAAAGTTCAGATTTCACAACCACCCGAAAACTCACGCTATATCAGATAGGACTTGTCGATGCGAAGCTTAGACGCAGCATCTGCTCATGAAAACCCTGTCTAACTTAGCCTGTCAAATCTAGTGAGATGTGTTTACCCTTTCAAGGCATTTTACCACCCTTGACGCTGCCGAGGTTCGAACACAGTGCCTTTGTAGTATTTGACGAACAATATGGCCATCAAGCCTTGCTGATTCATCCGTTCTCAAATATATGACACTACTTCTTTATTTTCTTTCTTGTTCTGTTTCGCCATTTTGTGAATAAAGAAGAACGGAAAAAGATTGTATTAGAGCCGTAGCAAATCAGTAACGTTATTTATTTGCTACGACTCTATTAAATCATTTCTTCATTCTTGTTTGAAAGAGAACGAAAAACGTTTCATATACAACTGACGCATTGAAGTCACCTGATAGAATAGTATTTTTAATAATATAAGGTTTTAGATCGTTTAAATCTCTATTCTGGCATTTTGGCCAATATAAACCGATTATTCTTAACGATTCTGAAAAT